CTCTCTCTCTCTCTCTCTCTCACTCTCTCTCTCTCTCTGTAACTCTTTCAAATACATAAATATATAAAAAGATGACATTGAAGTCAATCAAATATATTCAAATATGGTTATCAATATAATTGCAAAGTATAAAAGAACAAGATATGTGCTCTTTATGAATAATGAATAATAATAAACTCTAGTACTAGGCAAATTACCATCATAGTGTGAAGGGATGAATATAGAAACTGTAGTGATAGAAACCTACCTATGATCCCTATTGGCAAACTTCAGCCAGTGCTAATATGTGCTTTACTGCCTTTATTAATAGTTGAGAGAAATGTTGAATCTCAGTTCATGATTAGTAGTAGAGCACCAACCTCCTTGTTAAAAGACTTAGCACTGCCTCTCTTACCTGTTTTCTCCTATTCTTGAAGAGGCCTTTGTAAACTGTGAACCTCTACTTAACTACTTGTTATGGTGTCCTGTTGCTTTGTGCCCACTGCTGAAGTTTCTTTTGTCTGAAGCAGTGGTGCATTACCACCCTTCCAAAGGCGTAAGAAGCTGTGTGTCTTTTTCATCTTGGTATCACCTACCACCTGGCTGTTAATAAACTGGCAAGGTCTTGATGAATGAATGCTATATTTTTCAGCTTTATGGTTTCTGCTTTATGTCCAAATCATGATTTCAGATTTTGCCTACTCTCCAAAATTCATTTTCAACTCTACCAACTCAAAACATCTGAGTCCTTTGGGGCTGTTCTTACGTGTCTTCTCCTCAAAAGTTTTCAACTCCAGGCATTCATGCCCTTGTATAACACCCACCCCATGAATGTGGACAAGACCTGTGGCTTATCTCTAACCATTGGAATATGGTGCAGTCGATGAGATGTTAATTCCCTCACATTGTTACGTAATATTGTATCTTCTGTCTTGCTAGCAGTCTCTGCTGACTATTTCCCTTACAGGCTCTGAAGGGCCGAGCCTCTTAACAAAGACTCATGTGGCAAGGAACTAACAATGATCTGAAGCCACACTTACCCAGGAGGTGAACTCTGGCCAGCACCTTGACATCCTAAGCCAGCAGACCTGCTAAGTGGTGGGCCAAGTCCTGCCCACTGAAAACATGAGAACTTCTATGAGTGTTTTCCTGCAGCATTTCTGATCATTTGTTATGAAGCAAGAGATAATACAGACTCGCTTTCCCAGAAATGTAGAGCAGAACCTATGCCTCTGCTAGATGGAATAGACCACTCAGGCAGGGATTGGGGATACTGCGTAGTGCTGGCTTCTAGGCCTTAGTCAACTTTCCAGCGTTCATCTAGGGTCTCTCCCTTCTTCGTTAGAACTGATGCCAAGTTTTGAGCAGAAACACTCATGGCTAATTTATGAGTCAACTTGCCACAGAGCCAGAGCAATAAGTAGAGATATGATGCGTGTGCTCAGATAATTAAGACACCATCAAGACATTGAAATGAGCATGGAACTTGTGGGTGGTTGGGCTTACAGCAAGTGGTGTGAAACAATCTTTCTGGTCCTTTAGGGGTCCTTCTACACTTGGTCATACATGGCAAGGCCAACATAGACTGTTTGTGAGAATACACATGCATCTTCCCCATCCAGAAGGGACTTCAGGTGACGATGTTCAGTGCACAGAGTGATGTAACTTTTTGAATGACAGCTCTAGGGATTGAGATGTGGATTAGAGAGTGTCTTCATTTGATCACTCACTCAACAAGCAATTTTCAATTTTCTGCTATGATCCAGGCACTTCCAGATGATGGAGATAGAGGAGGAAAGAGACATGAGCTGGTCCTGCAGCTCGCAGTCAACACGGCAAAGAGCTGTGACTGTATCTGAAGAAATTCTGTGAACTAGGATGCGCTGAGAGCTTTATACTTATTAGTTCATTTGTTTTAGAAGACAAAGATGGGATATTATCCAATTTTAACACATCAACAAACTGAGGTTTAGATGTCATAGAGCAAGTAAGGAAGTAGCAAAGAGGAAATGTGCCTCTGAGGGTTTGGGCTCTAGAAATTGCTTCTGACCCTCAGAAACCTTCTTCTTTAATGAGTTTCTTATATTATTAAAGTGATATATGGGCCAGCGCCATGGCTCACTTGCCTAATCCTCTGCCTGCGGCGCCAGTACCTGGGTTCTAGTCCTGGTTGGGGTGCCAGATACTGTCCTGGTTGCTCCTCTTCCAGTCCAGCTCTCTGCTGTGGCCCAGGAAGGCAGTGGAGGAGGATGGCCCAAGTGCTTGGGCCCTGCACCCGCATGGGAGACCAGGAGGAAGCACCTGGCTCCTGGCTTCAGATCAGCACAGCACGCAGGCCACAGCACACCAGCTGTGGCGGCCATTTGGGGGGGTGAACCAACGGAAGGAAGACCTTTCTCTCTGTCTCTCTCTCTCTCTCACTGTCTAACTCCGCCTGTCAAAAAATGATATATGATTATCATAAAACACTTATAAATATGGCAAATGAATTGCACTGAAAATCTCCTTGATTTCACTACCATTTTGACAGCTATCAATCTAGAAAGTTATGGAAATTTCAGTGAACACATGGATAGATAATTATCTATGTGAGCACAGTTTATTAAGCGATTTGTGTTTGATATTTAGGCATTTGGAGTTTTGTTTTCAGGGAACTACTTAAAAACCATTTTGTTTGTAAAAGCCCAAACCATAGAAGAGATCACGACAGGGAGGAACTATCTTAACTGATCAGAAGATAAAGACCTTCTCACAGAGAGTTGAGAGACCAATATCAGTAGGTCTTACCTTCAGAGTGGAGGTGCCTCAGCGGAGATAGAGATGAGGGGCCCTCAGAGAGGGAGAGCTGTGTGGCTCACCAGAGAGGCTGGACTCTCGGCACAGGGAAAGCTTCAAACATGGCAAAAACAGTAGTTCTTCTCCTCTAAGGGGCCCTGAGCCCACTGAAGAAACAACATTGTCTCCTGGGAAATCACCTACAGGGTCCTTGCAGTACTTTGGGGGTTCCTGAGACCCAGGGATCCTTGTACAGCTCTGACAAGGGGAGGAATTCCGTTGTGATTGACAGGAAAAACATCCCACCTGCCATTAGACATGCTCAGAGGCAGACTGAGAGAGAAGGATGCCATCTTTGGATGGGTCAGATAGGCAGACACTGGCAGGCTTATGGAATATTAACATGTACAAGGCAGGATCTCGTTGCTGATAATTTATTTGCAAAAATAGAATAAATCAGTCATTTAATAGTCATATGTGACAAATACTCATGATGCTTTTCCCAGTGAGTCAAATGACAGAATATTAGTTACAGTTCTCCAGAGAGACAGAGCCAGTAAGATAGATAGGTGATAGCTAGATAGGTATGTAGATAGATAGATAGATAGATAGATAGATAGATAGATAATAGATAGATAAATACTGGGGGTAGATTTATTTCAAGGAATTAACTTACACAGTTATGGGAGATCTGGCTGGATAAAACCCAAATTTGTAGAACAAGCCATAAAGCTAGAAATTCACAGGCAGGAGCTGACTCAGCAGGTTCACAGAATTTCTTCTTCCAGAGAAAAACTCATTTTACTGCTAAGGACCTTCAGTTTATTAGATGAGGTTCACCCATATAATGTAAACTAAACTTATTGTAAGTGCTAATGATATCTGCAGTAACACACACAGTAACCTCACAGTAACACTTTGTGTTACTGTAACACACAGTAACACTTTGTGTAGAATTGGGTAACTGACCAAGTTGACACACAAAATCCAGCCATCCTCAGAGGAAGGAGGAGATGCAGGCTGAGCCTTGAGTGATGAATAGGAGTCCACAAGGTGACTGGGGGTGAGGAGCAGCAAAAAGGCATGGTGTCCTTGAGATGAGTTTGGGGAGCACTGAACACAGGAGCTGGGACCCAGGAGTCTCCCAGGAGGCTCCAACAGGGAGGGCAGAGGGATAAACTGAGATAACATATGTACTAGCACACCAGTGAGCCAATGTGGTAGAAAGTCACTGATTTTATTTAGGTGAGTTAGTGACTATTTTCAAGTTCTGCAAAGACCAGCCTGGATACAGCCTGAAGGAAGACAGAGGAGGGTTTACAGGTCTTAAAGAAGAGCTTAATGGTCTGCATCTAAGCAACATCAATGAGGATAGAGGGAGCCACTTAGAAGATGTGGAACAGGTACAGTCTGCAAACCTGAGTAACTCCTTGGCAGTCAGTGCTTGTCCATCTCAACTTGCTTTCCCTTCTTCCTTAGGTTTACAGTTAACATTTTTGACAACACCACTCTGTTTAGCCACTACTAACACTGAGAATCACTAACCATTCCTAGCGGGGCAGGCAGTAGATATTAACCTTGTGGCTGCAACTGTGTATGTAGAGAGCATTCTGACATGCTGGCACAAGCCAACTCAAACCACACACATGTGTGAGAGTACATACAGACTTGCTCCCTGCATTGGCTCATTCTCTCTCATTTCAGACTCCCCCATTAACTTGTGCAGCTGAAAACCCAGAAACAACTTTTAGGGGGTCTGTCTTCTGGAGCCATAACTGGGCACCTAGCCCAAATCGAACTCTTTTCACCAAAGTGATGCAGAAGAATGTGGCATGAGGGTGCATGCAGACAGTAGGTTCAATATTTTAAGCCTCAGTTCTGTTTCTACACTTCCTAGAGCCTAATGGAAGCAGAGATAGAAATTCTCTTTGATCATGGTCTGATGGTATTTCTCTTTTCCCATGTTTTAGCAGCAACTACCACTCATGGTACATTGCTTCAGGATCTATATCATAGACCCTGAATGTGAAATTCATGAATGTTCTCAAGATTGGTCTCCTTTGAGGTCGAGGCTTGACATTTCTGCTCCATTTGGCAACTGTGGCCCCCACATACCCATCTGAACACAGGTGTGACTGTCCTACTGTCTCCTCATCTCCCTTGCCTTGCTTCCTGAGCACATCAGTATCTCCCCCAAACTTTCTTCCACCTCCTTCATCTCTACTTTCACAAAAGAAATTCTCAACTTGTTTACATCATTTTGGAATTATTTTATTCTAAAAACCTTGCACTGAGTATGTGTGCTTAGTTCTGAGCTAAGCATCAGGGATGCAGAAATGCATGAGAAACAGTGCCCTGCCCTCCAGAAGCACAAACTAAGAGAGCAATGGAGACAATAGGATTGAGAGACAAGTAACTATGGGGGTTGGCCTTGAGTACATATCATGAATGTAGCATCCCAGGACTAGTGTTTTGTACCAAGAAGCTGGTGAGCAGGATCTCTCTGGGAATTGGCCCATAATTCGTGTGGAAGGTAGGGTGGGGATATGAAGTACAACATCTCAAGACCATATCTCAGGGACCAGATATTGTCTGATGTGGAGCCAACTAATTACCATTTCCAGTTGAGGACCAAGGGGCAAGAGAAAACAGACAAGAGACAGGTGCTATGAGCCCCCTTGGTTATGGTCCATGGAAAAGTTTTGGGGTAGGGAGCTGTTGGAAGACTCTGGAACCTCAATCAGCAGTGTGGGTGAAGCAAGACTCTCTCCTTTGTCCTCTCAGTTGCTGAACAATGTACTTGCAGAGCCAGGTGGGACCTCTCTTGGGAGTCCTGTGGCTCCTTCCTTGACTTGGAGTTCAATCTCTGTGAACAGAAGAAAAAGTAGATGATGAGAGGCAGAATGGTACAAGTGAAAATACAGCCTGAACTTGGAGGAGGGAAAAAGAGGAGTGAGAAGGAGGACAGTGTTTCTTTTTCCCACTCCACGGTGCACGTGGCAAAGATGATTTGCAGGGCACAGCTGGGTTCCTGGATGATAGGTGAAGCGCACCCAGCTGCGCTAAGGATGGCATGCACCATCATTCACACTCCTGGAACCAGTGTTTATTGGAAAGCTATGGAGAGAATGTCTCAACAGAAGGAGAGAAGCTGTAGTCAGGGGCAGGCATGGAAACTAAAAGTAGGGAGATCAAGACAGCAGGGAGAGTCAGTGTGAGCTTCCTGAGTGTGGGGCTGCAGTGAGCAGGGAGGCCCAGCAGTGAGCAGCTGGTTTCACCGTGTATACGCCTCTTACTTGCAGGGCCTACAAGAAGAAGAGACATCCCCTCCAGAAAGGGTAAGAGGTAAGTGAAGATGCCAGGAGCTGCTCTTGGGGAAACTGAGGCACAGGTGAGTTCCCACTCCCCCACTCTAAACTTCCTCGTAAGTGATGTCATTCCTTCCCACCTCCCATCATCCCAGGCAGCAGCCATTCACGTCAGGAAATGGATCATGGAGGCAGGAAAGAAACCAGAGTGCTGATTTGGGGGACTCTTGGCTCAGCCCTACCACTTACCTTCCTCCCCAGGCACTGCCTGATCAGTCCTGATCTGGACTTGAAATGCCTGCACCGCAGGGACATGTTATGGCTTCTGGGAAATGTTGCCAGGAGGGTCTGCAGGAGGGCACACAGGAGAATCGGATGTTCCCTCAGTCTTAGGAGCCCACCCGAAGCTACAGCCCTGTGGCCCAGTCTCTAAACCTAAACTTGGAGGCAAGCACATCTCCAGCCTGAGCAGGAGGCTGCTTGTAGTTGACACTTGGGAAATTGGGGGTGTTTCCTTGCCCCGCCCTTCCAGGCTGCTGGGGTGCACCAGACTTGTTCCTCTTCTAGGACTCTTTCCCCCTCCCACTCAGCCTGAGGCCACTTGTCTCAAGGGCCCTGACAACTCCCATTAAGGAATAAGAGAGGGCAGGCCACTTGATGTGGGTCTTTCCCACAAAGAACTGGTAGCTTCATAGGGGCTACTCCTTCCTGCAGAGAAGAACTCTTTAAGGATGGGACGCCAGACATCTGGAGTGAGGGTGATTTCTGGGCAAAGGCAAGAGCTTGCACAGGACCCTGGAGTCCCAGCCAAGGTGCTGCTCATGCCCCTCCTTGCCCAATGCCCAGGGTGCCACAAGCAACCAGCATCCCAGGAAGGCACAAAAGTAGTTCCCTGGACTCAGTGGTGGCAAAACACATTGGTCTGAATAGGAGACCTGGGCTGGGACATGCAGAAGCCCTTCCTGGAGTGCTCAGCACCCAGAAGTCTATGGGAGGAGTGGGTGTGGCCCCAGCCAACTGTCAGAACACGGCTGCCCTGGAAACCCCAACGGAAGCAACCGCCACTAGGCAGGGGGAGGGGCCCACATCCTGGGAAGTCAGCAGCTTCTCATTCACTACCCAGCATGCCTGGGGGGAGCCAGCGGCTCTGGAAACTGGAGAGGGGACATCTTGAGGTTTCTGGCTGTCTCCTAGAGGGGAACATGTCTCCTAGAGGGGAACAAGGGTTCAAGGAGACCACTGAATAGGTTGGGAGCATGCACAAACACATGCCTCAATCCATAGTCCTTAAACAGGGATCACGTCCACAAATATGAATGTATGCAATTATATAGGCAAAATACTTAGGCAAGCTGCTGCCTGAGAGAAGCAGCTTTGCTGGCAAGGAGGTATGTGAGGGTGACGGATGTGCAGGATACACTCTGGGCCTGCCCAGATGTACCCGAGCTGGGTGCTAGGCTTGAGCCCTTGGGCAACTGGAGGAGGCCAAGGGCAGAGAGAGCTGGGGACAAATGTCCAGCTCTTATGATGAAGCCTGGCCCTGTCTCACAACCAACCCCTGAGCTAAGCCACTATTGTTGTGCAAGGCAAACAGGCCATCAAGACATGAATACACAGGAGGGAAGGAAAACTCCTCAGGGAAAGGGGAGAAGGGTGCTTAAAGGGGATGGGAAAAAAAAAACAGAGATGGAGAGAACCCTTGGTCAGATTGCGGCAGGGAAGCTAACAGGGAAGGTGAGAGATGCAAACCAAAGAACGAGCAGGCGAGGGAGGAAGGGGAAGGGGGAGTGATGGGATGGGGGTTGGGGGCTGGGTGCAGGAATGGCCAGAGGGGCTGGACAGGACTGGCTGGGTGGCCTTAACCTCTTTAACCAGGCCGTCACTGTCAGGGGAGGCAGGCTGAGGTCAGGAGGCAGGTTGGAAAGCCCAGAGTGCTGGTCTCAACATCCCCTCATCATTTTCTTCTCCCCAGCTCTGCAGGAAGCCCAGCCACAGAGATAAGGGAAGGGATCTCAGGAAGGCAGGGTATGAAGAGGGAGTACCCTTCCCAGAAAGAAAATAAGAGCCATTTATCTTTCCAGGGGGCCAGAAAACACCCTCTAATGGTGGAAGTTTAAGCATTGCATCTGGAGCCCTGGGCCCCTCAAATTGCAACCCAAGTCACTTCCCTTTCCAGGGAATCCTAGGGTAGTCCAGGTGTGAGGCTCATAAGGTGCTCCCAGGAACAGGGAATGAGCTGCCAACTCTGGGGCAGCTTCTGGGAGGGTGCTGGCCCACACTTAGCAGGAGGTAGGCAGGAGAGAGGGGTGCCAAGTCATGCCCACCTCCCTAGTCTTCCAGGCTGCTGGGGAAATCCTGGCAGGCACTATTGTCCCTATACCTTGTTAGCCCCAGACACAAGGGCCATAGCCAGGAATGGAACCTGAAATCAGCCTTCCAGGGCAGGGATATAATCCCAAGCAAATAAACCATGGCTTGTGGACTACACAGCAAGAGCTGGATTCAGGATTTCTCTCCAGCTGGGGTTTCTGGAGTGGTCCAGTGGTCAGACACTGGAGCTTCCCTGGTATCCTGGCCAACATGGTCCAGACTTTTTGAGATCCCTGTTGCCACACTCCTCTGCCCTTGGCTCAGGAAGTCACCCACTCATAAGCGCATGTCTTTATTAAATAGTTGAGCTAACCTGGGCAGTGGGGATGCAAAGATGAATGAGACAAAGTCCCTGTATTCCAGCACTTTTGTTCCTCGGGAAAAACAGCAGCTTGACACGCCGAGGGTGCAGACAGTCCCCACCTGCACAGAGAGCGCTGGGGGTGTGGGTGGTAGTTAGGATACGAGTCAGGGGAGATGGAGTCCCCTGAGTCCCCTGTGGCCAAGCAGGCAGGCAGGTGGAAGCTTGGGAGTGCTTTGTCCACCCAGGAGTTTCATCTCTAGGACAAACATACTCTTACCTACGATCAGGGTCCTGCCCTTGAGCAGCATGAATGCTATGGAAAAGCAAACTAGTTGGGTAGTTTAGGTCCAGTGAGAGTGGCCTCCAAGGAAGCTATAGAAAAATGTCCCCAAATGCTGCAGACCCCAGATTTGTAAGGAGTTCTGACAGGGGAAAAGTGGGCTTATCGGGGATGGACGAGGGGCTTCCTGGCACAGGACCTGGGGATGGGACAAAAGGAAGCCCCCAGCATCCAGGCTGTAGGGGCATCAGAGCTCACAGTGGCTGGGACTGTGTTTGCACACTGCCACCTTGGTCAACCAAGGCGAAGGGTAGAGGGCTAGCAGTGGTCCCAAGAAGATGGTGACAGCCTCGATGATGGACCAGGGGACTCTTGAGGATTGGGATGCACAGGGAGGACTGGGGGAGGTGGGGTAGGGTGTATCACCGAGATGGTGTTTCTTCACCTTCTGAAACAGGAGGAAAAGCATGGCAGTGCCTGAGGTGGGACCGGGTGGGCCCTTGGCCTGCTGCTGCCCACCCCCTGGACCATCACTACTGGTGAGCAGGGTCAGAGGCCTGTAGCACAGCAGACCCTAGAGAGACAGAGGTGGACACAAAAGATGAAATAAAAATGCTGGGGCCATTCTCAGCAGGAAGAAACGGGGAGAGAGAGCACAGTACATGGAAGGGCAGGAAGGTGAGAAACAGCTGTGTGCAAAAGTCAGGAGATGGGAAGGAAGGGAGACCAGAGCCAGAGTACTTAGGACAAGGAGAAAAGTGCCAGGTGGGCCCTGCACTGGCAGGTTGAGGGATCAGAGGCCCGGGGATGAGGCTGCAGGGGCGGAGGTGAGTTGGGGGGACAAGATGCAGGTGGAGGATCTAAGAAGTGTTCCTCCTGGGAGCAGGGGTGCGTGGGTGTGCTGGTGTGACCCTTCCCCTCTGCTCCCAACCCTCTGTCATGCACTCTGTGAGTACAATACGGATGAAGAGAGAAGGAGTTAGCCGACCTGAGCCACCCCTCTGGGCGAACAGCCTGGAGTGGCACCTGTGGACTTCATGGGGGATGCCTGTCCCACCATTGCCAGCTTCTTGTTGGAAATTAGGGAGCTCTCTTTCCAGGCTTCTCCCCCTCCCCAGCCCTATTGGGGCACAGGTGCTCTTAGTGGGATTGCTTGGTAGCCCCACACCTTAAAAACAAATTTTACAAAACCCATCCCAGGAAGACTCCCATCTTAACTGTAGCCTGTTCCCACTGAGAGGAGCAGGCCTGGATGCTGGGCAAGGCACGAGGAAGAAGAAGCTTCATAGGAGAAGGGTGCTGGGTCTTGCCCCAGGAGATCCCCCTGGTGTCCCACAAAAGCTCAGGTGGCCCTGAGAATGGGCGTTGTGAGGAGGCCCAGAAGGATGCGTGCTTGGCCTAGGGCAACCTTTGCAATTGGGGCAGCCCAGTCTCTGTGTCCAGAAACTACATGGCATAAGCACTTGCAGCATATGCCACATGCCAGGCCAAATTGCCCCCCCAGTCCCCACCCAGCGAGCAGCCCTATCCATCCTCCCAAAGAGACTGTCTCCAGGCCAAGGGGGCCTCTGCAGACTCCAGGAGCCCCAAAGTGGTCCTGGGACAGAGGCTCTGGTCCTGGCTCTCCTGTGGGCGTCATGGGCCCTGGGTCAAGATCTGGGCAGTTGGATAAGAGTGAAATCCCAATTCAGTTTCAGAAGCAAGTAGCGGGTCCCAAGGGTATTTTTTCTTCCTCCTTCTGGGTCAGCTGCTTTGACTGTTGGAGCCACAGGACACAGGCCACTCTAAAATCCACTGTGTATGTTTTCCTTGCAATATGTCTCTTGGGTTGGGACTCAGAGAAGGTTGCCCCAGAGCTGCCCTGACTGAGTACACGCAGGGGAGCAAGCCCTGCTCATGTGATCTCTTTGTCTTTCATTCCAAACCACTACGCGGCCTCTCCTTTACCCACTGGCATGTTTTTGCCAAGCAGCTATGAATTTGACCTTGGTACCAAGTATATAACAGTGGCTGGGCCACAGTCCCTGCCCTCAACTTGTTTCCCCCAACTCCACAGCGTTGGTTGATGTTTGTGAGTACACACCGGGGTCTCTGTTAGATCTCGGATATGGAGACCCCACGGTGTTTCTCCCACTTTAGATAGCAGACAGCTGAGGAGTTTCTAGGAAAGAAATTTGACTAGGAAATATCTGGAACGTGGCAAGGAGTGAGTTAAGTCTCTCCCACAAAGGTCTTAGGGTCTGAACGGAGATGTTCCCCTCAGGCATGGGAAACGGATTGCCTCCCTTTACCCTGGGCTGGTATTTTCAGGACCAGGAAACATCTCTGGGGCTCTGTGTTCAACATGGAGAGCGCCCTGAAATGATGGAGATTCCAGGTTTGTAAAGGACTCCACAGGTGCTACATGAGCCCATTATCGAGGACAAGGCCCAAATGCTTCCTGAAACCAGCATGGGACTCAGGAGAGTGACCAGGGAAGCCCCCAGCATCCAGGCTCTGGAGTATCAGAGCTCACTTGGTGACTGGGATTCTGTCTAGAAGCTGCCGCCTTGGTAATCTGCAGCTAGAAGCCAGAGCACCAGGAGCTGGTCCCAAGAGGATGGTAACAGCCCTGATGACAGCTCATGGGGAGTTTTGGGGACTTCATAGAGGGAGCCAGGAAGGGGTACAGGGAGTAGGTATATCACCAAGACTATGGCCCCTCACCTTCAGACACCAGGCTTGAGTTTAGAAGACATGGTAAAGTTTATGGCACATAGATCTAAAAACAATTTATGAAAAAGAAAAAAAAATAAAACTATGGCATGGGAAGGCTGAAAGAAAGGTGCCCTTCCCTTGGCTCGGGGGATGGACAAATAGGGGTACAGTAGAGCTGCTGCCATCCCCGTGGGTCTCCCAGCCTGAGGGGGGTACAGGAGGAAAGACATTTGACGTGGCTGAAATGCCTGAACCTCTCGGGGCACTGAAGAATCATAGGTAGAAACTTCTACGGTTACAGCTGCAGGCAGAGACGGAGAGGGAGAGAAGGCAGCACAGAGAGAAGAACAGTGGTGGGAGATGCATTCAGAGACAAGAGTCAAGAAAGTAGGGGGTGAGAACAAGGTGCCCAGTGGGCACAGGGGCCAAAATGGGATGCAGCTGGCAGCTCCCCTGGAGAACAATCAAATCCTTATGAATTTCATGGTTC